AAAAATTCAAAAAAAAAAAAAAAAAAAAAATAACAGAAAAACAAAAAATCGTATACAGTGAACACCGCATTTTCGAGAATCCGCGCCAGCGTTAAAGCCGTTTTACGCGAGGCGCCTCTTCGCTCTCGTCCGTGTGCAGAGACGATGCGTGTAATCCGGATGAACGTTCGGAGCCCGAGATGGAATATCCCAGCGGAAACGGGAGGCTGGGAGGCCCGGGGAGGAACGGAGGGGAAAGGCCGGCAGAATAAAAACAAAGAGGAACGAATGAGCCGCGCGCGCCTCTCGACGCGTGTGCGACATTCGGCAGTCGATATTACCTACCTACCTATAATTACCTACCATCGAGAAAGTATTATATGACCAAAAATAAAATCTCTATTCTTCCTCACAGCTTCCCTCTGACGGCAAACCTCTAGTTTCCGGAAGAACCGGGGGAGCCCCGTGCTACACTTCAAACTCTAAAGAACAATTCCCTGTTCACTGCATAACTTATGACTACATCATGAACCTTGTGGAAAGTTTTACCAACTGAAACTCCGACAGTTCCTCCTCTGTATATGGGCCGTTTTTATCTTTTTCACTTTTTCACTCTTTCACTTTTTCACTTTTTCTCTGTGCAATCTGCGCGTCTGTGGGTGTATATGGACCAACTGCCTTTTTTCTTTCTTCTTCTTTGTCAAGACTCGGCGGACGTCTGATTAATTAAAGCAAGCCTTTGCTTATCTAATTCTAAGGGTTGTCCCGAGTGACCGTGCTGGACGCGAGTCGACACTTTCTCCCCGCCCGTGGAAAGGATGCAGAGGAGAGCCTGTCGAGAGCGGCCTAAAGGCATAGTGAAAGGGTAAGGAAGGTAGGAGAGGCGAAGAAAGAAAGACAGAGAGAAAGGCTCGTGGGCATAGAGGCTGATTATCAGGCCGTAACGGAAGGCGCTGGCTAAACCAAATTATCCCCTATCGGGAGGTCCGGGGGTGTGTACGTTTAAGGGTGATAACAAACAGGCTCGTTTACAGAGACGAAGAAGGCTGGTTGCGAAGGTAGAAATTTTTAAAGAATCACGTGCTAAATATATATCGAGCTACGATCGCCCATGCAATCGCACCTTTTGGCTGCTCGCGAGTGACACCCGCGGGCTGCGAGACTCTTGGCGTTGCTTTTCGAGAAATTGCGTCACGAACTTTACGCTAAACTTTTCTCTTCTACCTAATAACTGTAATCTATACGCCTTACGCGGCTTAGAAAAGAACTTCCCGAGAAGGCGACACTGGGTGTCGACCTGCCGTTCGGAGTCCAAGCTTTACGACTCTCCATAAAGATTTCTCAATTATTCACTGTTCGATCGGATTGACAGCCAAGTGACACGAAGTATCCTGGCCAGAGAGTCGATAAGTCGTGCGCGAGAGTGCAGGAGTGGCAGGAGTGGCAGCACAGGCATCTCTGATACTTGAAAGAAAAAAGAAAAAGAGCCGTAACAAACGTTAATCCCTCTCAAGGCAACGTGGAGGATTAATCCTGTAATTCCAAGAGGCTCGACTCATTGCCAGAGAAGCGAGTGACCCCTCTGGGCAAACATACTATGGATCGGTCAACCTTTTATCGAGCAGCCAATCACGCGATACATCGATCCTACTCTTTCTATAGTTCAATTGGACCATCCGATGGCTGCTGCGATTCTCTAGAAATCTTAAGGATCTACAGTTTCGGAAGTGCCCAGGGTTTCCGGTTACCTTCCGATACATGTACAGCTTCAGTTGCATAGGCACAGTCGACTACAAAGTACTTTTACGTGGCTGACTCACTTGATGAAATTCTCAAGAAGAAGGCGTATCCCTCCGATGCCCAGGAGAAGGAAGCCCCAGTTTACGAATCCGGTGAAGTTGTCGAACCCGGAGCTCCAGGAGAAGAGACTGTCCCTCGGCTGATGACATCTGCAATCAAGAATAAGATTGTTCGGTTTGAAGCGTCGCGTCAAAATGTTCCTGTCGGTTGCGCCGCGCATGCGCGTTGCCTGGCAACGGCACTGGAGTGACTATAGAAGAACGAGGAACATTTACGAAACTATAGCTGCGAGTATAAAACCATTTGGCCTGACAAAAGTAGCAGGCGAGAAAGCGACGATACTGCGGGAGGTTAGGTTGGGTTGGGTTGGGTTGCTAAGGCGGTAAAGTAAATGTTTATTGAAACAAAAAAGAAAAAGAAGCCCCGAACACAAAGCACGAAGGCAACAATGCAAAATCGAGACGCTTATCTAAGGTGGAACGCTGGAGGCGCGCAGCATCCTGCCAAAGAAATACCAAGGATTCCGTCCTCCGACCGAAAGGGCTTTTTGCAATCCCATCGCAGGCACTTTAGATATTAGAATTTCTCGTTGGCAGCTATTCGCGAGCGAGTAGCGAGTAGAGAAGCAGCAGCCCGGCACCGAGGCACCCGAGAGGCAAGAAACTCTTCCTCGAGGCCGACGCGCTGACGTAAGACAGCTAAGTGGGCAGTGCTAACAATGCGTCGTCCTGATGTATGAATTTTGAAAAGCCTCCGTGTCCCGACAATGGCGGCACAAAACCCACTCGTCTTGACTCCGGTCCCTCGCCTACGTCCTTCCCCCTCCGTGCATACAGTCCGACCCCACCGAGTCCAAGTAATCGCCGTCCTCTCGATTCTGACGAGGCTCCTCGAGTGGCTGGCGTCGACAAAACCCTCTCGCGTAAATTTTCAAAAGGACTTTGCGAGAAGCCGAGATTCTAGTGGCTGCAGGCTTAGCGACCCTCCTGGACGCATCCACGATTTTACCCTGAACGTATCGCGATTCTGCACATTTCCGATAATCTAGCGGGTGGCGCCTGTAGTGACGCGAAGGAGTTCTTTCCATTTTTCAACATTTTTTTTCCATCAGTCATTTATCAGCTCAGCTCATTCGGTCAGCTCTCCTCCCCCTCCCCTCGCCCTCGGGCGATCGCGCGCTGCGATCGACAGCGACTCCCCCCGTCCCAGCCCCCTTAGATACTCACGCCGCCCAACCCCTTTTCGCACTGACCGCTCAGGGGCTTCTAAGCTTTTCGCCTCGAGACTCGCAAATGAAATTAGACGTGAAACGTGCCAGAGAGCAACGTGTCCTATAATCTGGCAATTGCAACGTTGAAGGCTTAATTGAAAAGAAAAAAAAACCATAAGCAGATCGAAGCGAAAGGCGCCACGCGCAATAGGTGCAATGGGTGCAATGGGTGCAATGGGTGCAATGGGTGCAATAGGCTTAATTAAAAGATGGTCTAATGACGCGTCTGAAGAATTAGGACAGCGCGCGCTAAACCTATTCGGAATGGGTCTCTATGAGAGGCATTGCAACTATTATTCGAAATTTATGGAAGAGCGTGGTTATTAATAGAAGAGCGCGGGTGGCGATGGTAGTAATGCTACGGGCGAGGCGTTATCTCTCCCTCTGATATCGGTAGCAGGATGTAGACGTGTCATTGCGAAATTCCATATGCATGAGGAGAAATGCACACGGTGCTCTGAAGAGAGATGAGTGCGGCGGCTGCGTGCGTGCGTGCGTGCGTGCGTGCGAAAGAGAGAGAGTCAGGCAAATGAAGACACACGCAGTCGAAGGATCGATTCAGGGAGAGTCCTTCTATCGCGCAGGCTACTCGGCTACTCGGCTACTCTGCAGATCTTTAAAAGCCGCACCTGACGAATGCTGCAATTGTCAATTGGCAATTGGCAAGTCGATGATTACTTAATGAGCAACGCACGTACTTGGAGTAATGGCTGGTTCTGAGACGCAACCGGTGCGGCTTAACCGATGACGTCGCCAAGGGGCGGCGACGGATGGCGAACGAGGCGAACGAGGCGAACGAGGCGAACGAGAGAGACTAACGAAATAAAGAGCAAACGTTTTTGTACCGCGAACGCTCGTAACACCAGGACGCACAATGTTTTCGGATAATTATCCGAGCGTACCACCGCGGATGATACACGTATAATTCTCTCGCAGCTGTGTTTTCCGGAATTTCCATTGTCTGTGGGATATACTGAATATAGTGAATATACAGGATACTTGGAACACGGGGAAAATTCGGTTTCACGCAACATCTCATTGCTGCTAATGAAAGATTTCTAATCGAAATTTCAATTCCTCGTGGCAGCTCAGCTACGCTTGTACAAACCATATAACCGGCTCCAAAATGATTGTTCATGCATATTTCTTCCTGCGAGAACACCCGTTACATGAGAATAGAAGATCTCGAGAGAAGCATGGCCTCGTGAAAGCCCTCGTGAAAGATAAAGGTGCCAAATCTTTTGTTTCCGGGATCGCCTGGAGAGCCTCGATGGGGGTCGCTCACAAAAGAGGCGGTACTCGTCCGGAACTAAACAGTCAAGGGATTCAGAGAGAATGGGAGAATGGGAGAATGGAGGAGTGGAGGAGTGGAAGAATAAAAGAATGAAAGAATGGAAAGAAGGAAGAATCGAGAGGGAAGAAAAAAATGAATGGACCGAGTGGACGAACCAGTTGAAATGACGTAAGAAAGTGAAAGTAAGAAGGAAAGAAAGGAAAGAAAGGAGGAAAGGACGGAAACACAGAGATCTCGCACCCAGAAGGAGAGGTCTGCCCGATACCGGAAACCTTCTGAATATTTAACCGATAGCTAGACATACATTGCCCCTGTAACGAGGGAACCTCCTCTCGACTCTCGAGGGAGGGGAGGGAGGGGAGGCACATCTACTCGCTCTACATCATTCATGAAGGAAAATCAAACGGGCCTTTAAACAGACCTCCGTCAAGACAGCTTGGATTCCTCCAGACTTCCAGGCATCATCTATTTGCTAGAGACTCGACCGACGGAGTTGACAAACGGTCAATTCAGTGACGATCAAATAAAACTGACTTTCTATTTTATTTCTCTAATCCAAGCTTTCTTGCACAGCCTCGTGTCGCCATTGCTTTCAGGCATGAATGCGCTGCGAAATAGCCAAACTTGAAATAAGCAACAAGATAATTAGTTTCAGCAACTTGGAAAACTTCATTAAAAATCTTCATGACCCC